TGATACGATGTTCACGGGTTTTAGTATTCAATCGCTATCACTGAAATTATTCTCGCTTCTGCTTAAATTTTTAGAAGGCATATTAGATATAAAAGGGCTAACATAATTCTTACATATATATTATTAAGAATCAACAATTTCCAGGGTGTTTGAAAGGAAAGAAATTCATCCATCTTTCATCCAGCATGGACGCTACGTGTATGTAGATGTTCTGTACTGTATGTGAACTCTACTGAAATGGTGTTTGTGTGTCACTGATCCTGACTTGCTACTTAATTATTTTTTCTCATTCTTCTTTGTCCAATACTTGAAGCATTCTTAACTTAGACTTAAAAAAAAATCATATGGTCTGAGTCGGAAAGGTGAATATTGAATAATGAATAACGGTTCAAAATTGACTGGGAACTAGACGCTTGTAAAGCGTGATGCGGGCTAGCTTAGCAAAAGATTTTCAATACAAGATAAAATTGTATCTCCAATGAATATTGTGACTATGACRTAACTATATATGAAAGTAAAATATGCCGTAGAATACCTTAGTTTTCTTTGCAGTTCATTTCTTATCGTGCACCGCAATATTCTTTTCTGGAAACTAATCATTAACCTTCACTGTCTGCTATAATCTTATCATATATCAACTATCAACCATAATCTTTTTGCTATAGTGATTGTCCTACATTTGCAATGTATTTTGTAATAATATCTATGCAAGCTCTTTACTTCTTGGTTAGCGATATCACATTTATTATTTACATAGCAATGCATTTTAGATGACATGGGTGCATTCTTTAAATTTTGTTTTTATTAGCCTTTCTTTCGTACAAAMGAAATCTAAAAATTGAAGCAAAACAAAGTTCAATTTCAAAACTTGTACTTTGTCATTTTTAACTAATAAAAAACCCCGATGATATTAAAGCAATTTCTTTGAATTTGAACAATAAAAACATTGTCATTTAAACAGAAAAATACCTTTTGCTGTCTATAAATGTGAAAAAAAGCCAGTATTTGAGCTGATTTCATGTTGAAGCTGTACTGAATAATCATCAAGCTGGACTGGTGAGGAAGGCGAGACTATTTTCGATGCAAAATCGTCTTAAAATGATAACTAGCAAGCTTGAAACTTCACAAATGCAATATCCTAGCTCAATTCTTCAATGAGAAAGCTTTTGGTATTTCTTGTTGATAGTTTTTGAGTACTTTTTTCTCTGTTATCGGCGAAGTACCCGCCATTTTGGATTCTTGAGAAAATTTTCAGTTCGAGAGAGACTGCAAACTAATAGATATGATAGATATGGCTTCCTGTGGTTCGAGAGAGACTGGAAACTGCGACCCGACAGAAAAAAGGTAAAACTATAGACCCCTTGCAGTTCATGGGAATGCGGCTCCAACTGGAGGACAAAACAATAGATTTTAGTTCCCAAGAGGATAAAAATCTTTTGTTTTGTCCTCCAGATGAAGCTGCTTTGACGTCACATGCAAGGGGTCTATAGCTGGCTAGCACAGCTAGCCGCTAATAATGAATAATTCAATAAAACTCCTAAGGAATGATGGAAACAAAAATCAAAAGTATCATAAAGAATATAATGAATAATAGCAAAAATACATACATATTGGGAATATATATAATATA